TGCGAAGTAACAGCTACTCTAACTGGCGAGCTCTTGGCCCCACATGATTAATCCCCCTTCCTGAAGTTTCAGTCACCACATTGATGCTGTGTTGTGTATTATGAAGACTACATGTGGGGAGACAATAGGCTCTTCTAGCCTTTGTTCACAGCACTGAATACTGTAAGAGATCTTGTTTCTGTACTTCTCTGTGGGTTGGAACTTAAGTGTATCCCATTGTCTGAACGTATTTAAACTGAAGAGAGGTGTCATTGAATTAAACTGCTTCTAAATTAAAAATGAGTGGTGCGAAACAGCAAACTAAATCATCTATAGTAGATGCTCTTTTAGCTCCCCAATCCTTGTGTGTCGTCCATCTGATTCAATGTTTACCACAGGCCTACAGTATGTTGATACCACCTGCTCCTCTGGGGCGCATTCCTCAGGATTAGTTTCAATTCCCTCTGAGCGTAGGTCACAGGTCAATGTTACTGTTAAACCAGTGTTTCAAAAAGTAGACACCAATGACCCTGAGGTGCCCTTTCAAGGGGCTCCAAGAAGGTTGTGAGGTTCTCTGTTTTACAAGTTAAAATATATTTATGGATCCTGGTTTAAATATTCAACACTCTGTTTGTCTTGTGTTTAATATGAATGTCGTGTCCACTGACTGCATAGCAGATATATAGCAAAAGCTGATGGTGAATGCTGCAGGTGTGTGTGTGTGTGTGTGTGTGTGTTATCCACTGCTCACTGTTTTTAGCTGTAAACATTACATGGAGCAACTAATTTGTATTGGATAATGTGAATGTCTAATGAGGTTATGTTACTAAATGAGAAAAAGCAAATTTCACAACATGCCCATTCGTCTTCATTACTTTAGCTGCAATGCTGCCACTCAGAGGGTACCAGTGGTATACCTGTGTGATAAATCTAAATGTATGAGTAGTAAGCCATGACACCAAGCAACTGGCAATATTTGAACCGTGTAAAAATACCCTTTTGACATTTTCTGAGGCACATGTATGTCCATACCAGCAGCAGCTGCGTAACTTACCTTTTTCCTTAGAAGATATTATGTTTATCAAATTCAATTCTGGAGAACATGGAGTGAGAGGAAAGTAGAAAATGGAAAGGGAGGAGGATCTGATAAGCAACTGAGGTATTCCCCTGATGGGAGGGAGTTACATCTCTACCATCTACCCAGAAAGTGTGGGGTGAAACTCTCAGACAGCACGCTTGGGCAGGAGAAAGCATAGATAAAGGGCTCCCCCTCCCTCCTGCTCTCATCCTGCTGGCTCCACTTTACTCTGCTCTTTGCGGATACCAGCTGCCTACGAGAGACCCTCTCTGCATCTTCCCACCTGCCCTGACAATGCCGAGAGGATTTCCATGACCTGCAGCACCACAGCGAGTCTAGCAGCTGATCCACAATGATTCACTCTCTCACAGCAGGTGAGACTGTCTCCACTGTGTGCATGATACAGCAGAGCATAGTAAGTAGCAAACAGAAGCAGAGAGATCTGTGTCAGTAGTGGGTATAGTTGGAAAGTTTTCTTTTTGTGTAAATGGATACAGGAGTTGTGACTGTAAGCGGATGGTGTAATCCCTGTCTTTGATGTGTGTTGTGGAGCAGTTTAGAGGATCTGTGTCTTTCTATTGGGGTGTGGGTGTGTGTGTGAGAGAGAGAGAGAGAGAAGTGCAAACCAGAGAGCCATGCCCCTGGTGCCCCCGCTGCCAAGACTTAGCCCTTGTGTTGGGCAGGAATTACTCTGAGCCTCTTGTTTTGCTGAAAAAAATTGGTATGGCATGCCACGGCTGAAGTGTAGACTCCAGTTGTTGCAGCATTGAGAGAGAGAGAGAGAGAGAGAGAGAGAGAGCTGATTTGAGCTGCAGTGCTACACTTCTCTGAGGAGAAGCTTTGGCTGAACCTAAAACCAGGTTGCCTTTCTATTCTCAGGTTACCCTCTATTCACAGTTTGCCTACTTTTACATCAAAGTCAACTCAGTTGATGAAAATCCTTAATTTTCTGCTTTACGATTCTATGCATTAAAATTTTGGTCAAATTTGGTCACAAAAGTGGTATTTTTACTTGATATGTGGTAGGTTTTAACTGACAGACACTTCTTGTCTCAGCTAAGATTGAACTCAGTCTTGTTTGCATTATGGCAACACTTCTACTGTACATGTAAACACTGCTACATTGAGAAAATCCCCCTAGAGGAGAGATGCCAGTCATTCTTTCTCTTCTTTATCTGGCCTTATGGAAGCAGGAACTCTACTTGACCTGATAGTTAGTGTTGTGGGGCCCTGTAACATGCTAATGGTGTGAGGCAGTGCCTTGTCCGTGTATGTTACCAATGAGCTAATATTACAAAAAACACTTGTGACTTATTGCAGTATTGCTATATTAGGGTACTTTGCTTCTTTTTACAACTGTTATATTACAGTATGTTTAGTGTTTAAAGTAATACCTAATAGCCTTTTTGTATGGTGTAAGTAACTTGCCTTTATTATGATCATACTTATTTTGAATTTGAAGATAGATAACCTGAATAACTTCTAAAAACTACAGGTACTGTATGTGAGTTTCATTAAATGTATGTATTCATTAACAAATAAACATCTGCTGTAGAGGTTGAGATGTGAGTAATGTGTACACCATACCCTTAAGATGTTTTTGACTGGTTATTGATCAGAACTGCTGTGCTTGTGAATGATTCAGTTCAAGATTGACTGCACTCAAATCAATGTGATTTTAATCATCTTCTCAAATAATGTTATTGTATTATTATAGAATTATGCAATCCATGATTTATGTAGAGTCACTGCACAGAATAATTTGTGACATTCAATTCTAGCAACTCTCACCAGCACTGACAAAAAAGCTGTTTCCCCGGTACGCAGTGTAAAAGGCAGTGTGCTACAGCTCTTCTGCAGCACAGAGTTCATTTTCTCCTTTGGGACAATATTGTCACAAGCGTTGATGGAAGCTAGTTTTCTGCAAACAAATAGACCTACTGTGCTGCAGTGTTAGTACACCAACCAGGGGATGCTGCAAATTCCGTGACAAATAGTTCAGAAGTAATGCGGCTAAAACAAAAGCCTCAAAGAATGCAGATTTCTAATTAACAGGGGATGCTGGTGCAGTACTGTATGTGCCCAGTGCAGCTCAGCAAATTATGAGTTGTTACCAGGAGCAAGCCTGGCCAAGCCTGTGTATGTATGTGTGTTTGTGTATGTATATATGATCAAGAAGAGCTGTTTATACAGTGTTTGTGTAGGTTTATATTTGATGTCATGTTTTTCGTGTGTGCAGAATCACTCAGCATCATTCCTGGTCAGTACACACTCTGAACTTTTCTGAAATGTCAACTCATAAATCTTTCCACCCTGCTCAGTTTGTCTCCCCTCCCTTTGCTGCATGGTGATGCAGTGAAGCACCAAATTCTGTTTGTGTTATTCTGCATCTTTATAGTACTGAAGTTTTGCAGCTGTCCCTCAGAGGATTAATCCCTTACTGCTGGATATATAGTCATATATTTACCCTTGGTACACTTTAATTTAGGATGGTCTAATCATGTTTAGCTATTTGTTCATCTGTAGTGTTTATGAAAAAGCAGCATATGGATTTAGCTTCTGTACAGCAGTATACTCTAAGGTTTTATTGCACACTTGTGCACAATATTTCACTGCTCCTGTTGAAAATGGTGTTGTGTTTTTTTCTTCTATAATAGACGGTGTGTGATGGTGATGGGAGAAGATAAGAAAGGGTTTGGGGGAATAAAATACAGTACTAACACAAGCCAGACTTGAAAGCATAATATTGCAGTTCAGTACACAGGACTTCAGCACTTTATATCTGTGGCCCACATAATCAGACAAATAGCTGTCTCCTTACTTTCTACACCTGAGTAGAGAGAACACACAGGCCTTTATATATTAGAATATATTATATTGTATTTGTAATTTCAGAGGAGTTGCCAAAACTGGACATTTTTTGATAACATTACATTGTATGATGTCTCTACAGAACACCAGCATCTAAAGCTCATTTTATATGGGCATGCAAATTAAAATGGAAAAAATCTCAGATGCACTAAGGATCAGAAAGCTGGCAGCATCTCAAGGGATGTGTCACAGTTTGAGGGGATAATGGATGGCAGTATTGAATACCAGGGGCATCTAATCCTGAATGTCCGTGCACCTTAAGGCCTTCTGCAGAGTAAGGTTTTCTGTAAATCGTGAGAGTAACTACATGAAATGGAAAGCTAAACACAATGAATGATTAAAGTTTAACCTGCCATGAGGGTTAGATGAAAAGCTTGGGGATTGGATAAATACATTACTGATTAGAAACTCATTAAATCTGTCTTTTTTATAAACCGTAAGACCGATCCGCTAAGTACAGTATGAGAAAGAAGTAGACCAATGTGATGATGCGCCAAATGTGTCAGAGACCTGACAATGTGAAGCCTTAGCTCAATACTGCAAGACAGCGTGTACAGATACTATTTTTCTGGGATTTTGTATCATTTTGTTGTAAAAATCAAATAGCACAAATCTTGTCTTTGCCTAGTCACATATAAATTTACAGTAGATGACAAGAAACAGATAGAGTCATGGCGTAATATTTCAATCCTCTCAACACCAGCACCTCTATCCACTTGTCTGTTTCTTATTCTATCCTGTGACAGTAACATGCGTTCATGCTCTAGTTAAAGCAATTAATGGCCCCATCTAACTGAAATCAATAAAACCTGGTGAGCTTGCTAAGAAAGAGTGCTGAGCCCAACACTTTGTGTAAAAGAATATGAGCTCTGGTTCCCGACCTGGCTGCAGAGCTACCATAGATTATTTTACAGTTGACGGCGTTCAGTGTAAGCCAAACTTTTTTTGTAACCTCAACCAGCAGCCAAATAGAAGTAATGAAACTCAGTCATACGGGGACGTGATCAGGCCGGAGTATGATTAATGACTTGATACAAATTTTGTTTTCTTTCCATCTCCCTCTGTCCTGCAGCCACAATCTTAGGGCTACGTCATTTCGGCACCCTGTGACTGGACAGATTTCCCCTGAAAACACAGAATACACACTGCAAGACAGGTGAGTGGGTCTTTATTTTTTCTGGAACAGTGAATATGCTGTATGCTTAAATGTACAGATCATGTTAGTTCAAGGTCATGAGGGAAATAGCCTGTCACCTTCCCTGATAAAGCATATGACGAGGGGAGCTGTCTATTCTGCAGTAACATCAGGAAAATGACCTGCAGTCGATGTCAGAACACTAAAAAAATCCAATTATATATTATTATATTCATTATCATCATGACGTTCATAACTGACTGCACTCACTTGTCAGTGGATTTGGATCCCAGAGACTCTTGAGTGTTATTCTTCAAATTATTGCCTTAATATGATTTATCGTAAAGGCATAGCTGACACTCACATATGCTTTTGGCGGTGTTCATATCACAGTCATGAAGTCCGGGGTCATGAATCTGTCTCATCAATAAGCCAAGTTACGCTTATGTTGGCTTTATTTGTTCTGGTACATCTGGGCAGTTTTTTCTCAATGAAATTTAAGTCCAGAAATGGAAAACTGGCGATGTGTTTCTGACATGGGCAGTGAGGTTTTATGCCAACTAACTTTAGTTTTTCAAGAATGACACTTCTTTGACATAAATATTAGTATATTTAATAGCAACATGTCACAAACATTTTGAGATTTGGAATTGTACCAGAGAGGCGACATTGCATTGTTTTCATTTACTACAGTATATATTGCCACGGCATGGCAGTCGGATTTATTGTTGTTTTATGTCATTGTGTGAATCTCATCCTGCAAAAGCCATCAAAGCTGCATGGCAGGTTTAGAGCATAATATAAGGCAGCAGGTGTCTGATCGTATTTAAGCTGGCCGGTGTAAGATGATCATGCATAGCACAGACTCCACTATAGCCAGAAGGAGGTTAAGAGACAAGCATGTGACCTCCACATTCTCACTAATTAAAAGACGGTCTGTTAAAGCAATGCAAAACTGATTGTGATTCATCTGCATCCTGCGCTGTCTTTCATTTCCTAAAACTCTCCATTATCCCTAGTTAAGTTCTGTTGAGCCGTGGATTTGTATACCATCAAGGGGCTTACTTGCATATTTTCAAAAGTGATTCTTTTACTTTGAAATGCCAGTAATAATCTTTTTAAGCTATGGTAAGAATAGCATCAGTTAATGAAATGGACAGGGCAAGCTTCAGAAATCTAGTCTATGAATATTATATTCCATTTCTGCTAATAGATCCTCCTAGATGCTACACACTGGATCTTTAAAGATGCTCTTCATCCTAATGCAGTTTCTTTTTACTTTATTTTGCCGTAGTTTTGTGCCTCTCTCTTCCACCCTTCTTTTCATAATGCTTTTGTAGACATAAGGGAGAGAGCGTGACAGCTGGGTTAAAGTCTTGGTATTGAATGTGTGCAACACAGGCATTACCTCGCTGTGGCTGCAAAATGTTGCTTCTGTTCACTGACATGGTGATGTTATGGCCATGCTATGCGTATACTGATATCTGAAAAGGAAATTTGGTTTCTTCCATGAATCACCGACTCCTTTCCCAGTAAGGAGAATCTCAGTGTGTTCCCTGGACCCATATCGGATTGAGGGCAGAGCAGGGGAAAAAGAGCTTCAGGAGGCCCTTCCCCACGGAGAGGTCGATCAGCCTATGCTTTGCTGGCCTGTTATAGATTATCACACTATGATCAATTCGTCAACTCTCCCCATGTACTCCCACTGCCTGAAAGGATTAAAAATGTCAAATATGCCCTCATTTCCATCATAGCAGAAGCAGCGAGAGATGAAGCTTAGTGTCTTTCCCCCTTCTACACTTCGTGATGTGAAATATCGCTCCTCTCCACCACATGCCACAACAAATCTCCTGGGGAACCATTCCAATGACAGTGGTGGTAAACAGTATGAAAGCTTCACATAAAACAGCAGAGTCCCCTTGATACGACAGAAACATCCTGTAAAAAGACTGGCTTCAGTCCAGACTGTGAGTGCAGATACTGTAAGTTTTGTTGCACTGTGGTTTCTCTCTCTTTTTCCCCTTGTGCTACCAGCATTTTTATCTTTTGCTTTAGTCTCTGACACACATCTCTAGCTTATCTCCCTTTCCTTAGCTTCATTGTAGTGCTGAAAAAAAAGCAGGAAAAAACAACCTTGGTTCATGCTGCTTTTAACCCCTTTGCAGAACAATGCAGGGGGATAGTGGCAGTGTTGTCAGAGAGACAGGCCATTTATTGTTTCCTATTGTAAGCTCACTCCTGCTGTCAGGAAGAAGCTCTGCCAAGTATTGGACAGTTGCATGTCAATTAGACTGGTTGACTAGCTGCAGATGAGTTTTCAAAATGTATAGCCAATATGTTCAGTATGGTTATGCTACGGGTTAGCTCGCTGTAGTAGAGTCGCTCACTGAACAGCAGCTCTCACTCATTCTTTGGAGGCACACAATTAAATTAGCAAATTAAAATGACTGAAATTGCCCAAAAAATTGCCCCCCCCAAAAAAACAACCAGTGCTGGACTCCAATAGCCAGTATACTTGTGCAGTTGCTCAACTATACATAGGAATATGAACAAATTTCTTTTAAATGAGTAGTGGGAGTAAGTGTAACATGATTTTGCCGTTGGTGCCTGACCATGTGGAAAAAGGACAGATTGGTTTAAGGTAAAACAAAGTCTACAAATAAAGCAGAAGAGCATCACTGAACTCATAACTTGTCAAAGTTGAGTCACAGCATCTAGGACCTTTAGAATGAGATGTAACAGCAGGATTTGTGGAAGAAAAATCTGCTGGAACTACATGTTAGGACTTAATCAGCACTGCACTAAAATGTTTCTGGGACCTTGTTAAATCAAATTGATCCTTGCTGTCTCCAGTTTCCTGTTATCTATGATGCATCTCCTCGTGAGCACATATGAAAAATCAAAAACTGCAGCAGCCTGGAAAAAAGTCCTTGAAATTGTAGCAGTGAATAGTAGGTGATAACTGGAGAGAAAATACTTAAAGCTACAACTCTGCTGTCAGTGCCAGCCAACATGGCCGCCTAAAAATCTGAATTCCCAGTGTACTTTACTTAACATTCATGTATTAGCCTAGATTTCTTACGTCAGATTCTTAACCCATGCGAAAGTACAACCCTGACCACTTCATTTGTTTATGTCCATTCTACTTGAAAGATCTATAATGTGACATCAGGCTTTGGGTGCTTTGTCAGTGCCTTTGGGAATTGTAAGCATCAGGCTACCTTGTTGTCACATTGTTCTGTACTTTACTCTCTGTACTCTCCTTTGAACCAGATTGTCTGTGTAGAATTATGTAATGCATGATCTATGAAAAATATATGTGTATATATATATATATCTATATTTTAACTGGTCGAAGGATAAATCACAATAGTCATCTCAATGTCAACTGAAATAGTCCAAGCTGTTACCTGTCTCCTTGTAATTCTGTGCTAAAGGTTGGAGCTGTTTACAATCTCAGTACATTAACCTTTAGGAGTTAGTGTATTTAGAACATCACACAAATAGTAGAGGTAAAATTAATGACTAAAAAACACTGCAATGTGCAATCGTGGCTCCAAATGGGAACTATTAGGGAGAGAAATGTGGACCATTTTCCACAAAATTAGCTCTGGTTCCTGAGCTGGTTCTGTTCGAGTTTCAACAACAGTCAATGATAAATAATATATAATAATCTAATTCTTGCTTCTGTTGCTGAATAGGGTTGGCCTACGCTAGTGCACTTTAATGTCAGCCATAATGGTGGTACTTGGAAAGCCAAATATTTTCTGAGGTGGTACATGGTGTAAAAAGTTAGAGAAATAATGACTTGTCTAAATGAAGAAACACAAGATTGTGTTTAATTTACAACTGGACTTTGCTTCTTTGTCCCTTGTGATAATTATACTAACAATGATGTTTTACTTTACTGGTCATGACATCACCAGGAAAAACATCCACTACATATTTAAATATTATTACTCTAATCTGTCTGATGTTATTAGTATTACTATTTTAATATAAATATAAATGTATTCATAAATAATGAAAGTACCACTCAAAAGGCCTTTTCTGGATCCATAGCAATATGATGATGTCATGTGGAAATGTGGGATTTGGATTCCTTTGAAGCTGTCCAAAGACAGTGTTTGTGTGAGTGTGCATGTGTGTCTCATCTGTGCATATGGTTTTGGGTTCTTTTTGTTCTTTCTTTTTGCGGTTTTGTTTCAGCTTGTTTTCTGGGTGTGTATAACATGTGTGCCCCGAAGTGTTTGTCAGACCAGGTGTCACTGGAGTGTTTGGAACACAAATCTTCCACTATTAACACATCCACACTGCAAAGCCATTGGCTGTGACAGGTCGCGTGGCGGTGTCAGGAAATAGTCACATCCTTTATATCTGAAAGCTCAGCACAGGGCTGTGCTCTGTTTTCCTGTGTGTCTTTTAGTTTGTCAGAGGAGAGAAGGGATATCACTCTCCGAGGCTTCTCATCCTGTCTGTTTTACTGATCGTCTTCTTCGCTGCCTTTCAACTGTAGGTTAGAATCCCGTATGTCCAAGTCAGCGGCCAATCAGAGATCCCCCAGCATGGTCACAGAGTCCTCCAAGCCTGTGACCTCAGCAGCAGTGGATGCAACCTCAGGGTCAAAGGTGAGCATCAGTGTTTCTCTTCTCTGAGAGGGCAACTGTTTATGTTGAGTATGTGTTAGTTTTACTTAATGTTTGAAGAGAAAAGTAATCCTTAAACAGAATCAAAATGTTTTTTCAGGTTTTCTTATTGGACATTGATCGTAGTTGACCAAAGAAATAGAGAATTGCTTTGAGAGCTCTCTTGATGACTGTAACTGCTCGTGTTGATAAATTGGTTTAATCAACTCTAGAAGACATTATCTCATTCTGATTAATGACCACAGAGAGCGATAATTTAGTCATTTTTCAAGCATAATAAAACTCAAATACACATCCTGTGGAACTGGACAAGGGTGCGGCGTACAGTATGCATCTCTGTGATAGACTTGCTGTTGTTTCCACAGCTGTCCTGGAAATTTTTGCTGCAAACATGTTTTGCCAATGAATATGTGACATAGCACAGAAGCACAGGACAGTAATAAAATCCCAGAGAAATCTGAAATTTCGAGCGACTGAAAGTCCCCCTTTACTTTAATAGTTGCCAACACTGAAATAAATGTCAATGCAACTTAATGTTAGAAACAACTATTGCTCTAAGGAACTTGAATGTTTTAATGATTTTTTAAATATCAAATGATTGAGAAAATCATTGGCAGATGATGTAAAAGCTACTTCTTTGTCTGTGTGATTATTGTTTTGTGTGACTAACTGACCTTACCTTTTGGTCCCTCTGGTGTTTTTCATTTTGTCTAATTAAAACGTGTCACATTTAAGATATGTATAAGGAATTGGGTATGCATATTTGTCCCCTCAACACTTCTTCTTCTTTTAGCCAGCAGGTCAACCCGACAACCACAGGTATTTCTGTAGAAAAGCCCCCGAGAAAAAGTCTGACTTAATTTTTACAGAGAATTAGGGCCGCACAATTAAACAAATTATCAAAATCGCAATATGGCCAAGTCCAATATGCAAATCGCAGAAGCTGTAATGTTCTGATAAAGGTAGAATGTGTGACAAATCAGCATTAAAATGAAGTACTGTAGTGCTGCAGAGGTGCCTTGGTCTACAAATCTTGTTCTCCACATTTAAGTAAGTTTGTTTGTACAGACCCCCAAAAATTTCACATCATATTAATGTTTTATTTTTTTTAATGAAAATTTAATTTGTGATGGAAACAATGATGAATGATGATTCCCACATAATTGTGAATCACAGTCGCAATATCTGTCAATATGATGTTTTTAGTGCAGCCCTACAGACAGTATGTAGTCTGAAATGGTCCTGTCTAAATATACCTGATTATAAATGGAAGCACACGTTCACAGGAATAGCCTGTTGGTATTTCCTCTTTTCTTTGTGGGTGTTAAAAGAAGGAATTTCCAGGAAAGAAGGCCATTTTACTTGACTCAGTTTTGCCTTTGTATTCTCTGCACTGTGGAGGTTAATGCCAGAGTATACACCAGTGGTTCTCAAGCTTCTGTCATGCCCCCCACCCCCCCGTAAACAGATTTAATGTTTATCAGTCTTCTACATTATTGGAGCAACTACTGGTAAAAAAAAAAAAAAGGCACGTCGAATGTAAAAAGAATTCGAGTTAGCAAGATAGCCTTACTAGCATCAGAGCACTTGTTTACTGTCCTCACACAAACCAGAGTCAACTTTAATTTCACTCCACATTTTCGACCTGGTCATCCATGCATGCACCCCTGCAAAGGGGGGCTCGTCTCCCAGTTTGAGAACTACTGGTATACATAGTACTATTCTATTAATCACTGTATGTTACCTCAGGTAAGCAAAGTAAATTGGCTTGCAGTTCTTCACCAAAGCCACCACATAATGCACTCTTTTGTTTTTTCTTTGCTTTCTGCAGGGCTCCAGAGGTACGGGGAAAGTACACAGTTTTGGAAAGAGGGATCATGCTATTAAAAGAAACCTCAATATCCCAGTGGTGGTGAGAGGCTGGCTATATAAACAGGTGAGCTGGGGTCCCTATGCTCTTATTGTGAGTCTAAAAGAAAGACCCTTACATAGCTACACTGTGGAATATCAGTCACATAATCAGATATGACCCTCCTTGCAGAAAGTGAGATTCCTCACTGTACAACAGCTGTAACTGTGTGGAGTAGAGCAGAAGTAGGATAAACATAAAGGTTTATGTCATGGTCTGTGTCTTTCTAATACCTGTTAACAACCATTCTGTATAGAATCTGATGTTCTTCTTACTGTAAGCTTTACAAAATAAATGCCCAGACTGTCCATACAAAACCCTTTTAATCTGGACTTGAGTGTCTCATGCGATCACATAATCTGAAAAAGTATAACACAAAAAGACACCAACCAAACCCAGAGACCTACAGTACTGAGGTAAATGAGTCGGCAGCTTTGTGCCAAATGCTGCAAGAAAAAAGTACATTTAAATTAAATTAAATTATTCACACACACACACACACACACACTTACTTGCTGCTAATGAGCACTATATTCCCAAATTACGCTTTTTAATTAAAATTTGGATTAAAATATGTTCCTGCGAGGAGGATTTCTAAATACGCTGTGTATTGCTTTTCCCCCTTCACCTCCAGGACAGCTCTGGAATGCGACTGTGGAAACGGAAGTGGTTTGTTTTGTCAGACTACTGCTTGTTTTACTACAAAGGTGAGTCTATGAAAATTGCTCTCGGCCAGGGTTTAATAGGCAAAAATGAAAATAGCCTTGATTGTTAAATCAGACATAAAAACCTTTGGTGATGTCCTCTGAGGGATAGATGCATTTCTTGATTAATGACAGTCTATAAATAGATGTATGAAATATCTTGCCATCTCTTACTCTCACTGTATTTGTCTTCCTCCCACTTCTTCCTTATTAACTTGAGTATTTTATTATGGGATGTAATCTGTGCTTGTGTTGCTGGAGCATCTACCTCCTCTCCTCCATTAATCACACTGAATAATAGATAAGCCACATGCCACCTTGTGCCACATGATACCACATGGCCTCGCCCAGACAAGAGTCACCTATGAATTATGCCTCACTAATTTTCCTTCTGTTCATAAATCTACAGTCACTCGTAAACATCGTAAAAAAAAATATCCTGGCAAAATAAGAGTTTGTTGTTTTGGGTGCCCTTAACAGTTAACTGTGTGTGTTGTGTGTGGTTGCTTCACAGATAGCCGAGAGGAGACAGTGCTTGGTAGCATCCCTCTGCCCAGTTATGTCATTGCACCAGTTGAGCCTGATGACCACATAAACCGCAAATACGCTTTCAAGGTAACACTGTGGTGGCACTGAATCAGATCTATAAAAGAAGTTATCACGTCCACGTGTAGCCAGTGAAATTCATTCACGACTTATAATTTTGTTTTGTTACATCACTATTTGGAAGCACTCCTCACATGCTGGTTTGCCCTACTGTGGTCTCTGTAACACAGGAAGCCGTGTTGGGTACTCCCTGCTGCCTTGATCACATTTTCATCTCTCCTTTATGTTTTTTCCCCCCTTTTTGTTTAAGGCAGTCTGTGATTTACTATTGGGGTTGGGTATTGAACTTCAGTAACTAGTTCAACCAAAACAGGTCTATAGCACAGAGCATCAAAAACAGTGAAGTATCTAAAGTTGGAATCAAGTCATACCTTTGTTTACTTGATTGACTGATTTAAAGTATGACATTTCTCTTTATAGAATAATATATTTAGTTTATGCAAACAAGGGCTGCTTGTAATACAATATGAAAAATAAAACACAGATGTGTTTCAGAGGTTTGAATTATTTTGTTATATAAAAGAGTTTGTAGAAAAACAAATAATCAAAGTAAGTCTTTTTTTTACACTGTTACTCAGAAAATGTCAAGTTATGAGTCGTACAGTGGCTGCAGGACAAACTTTGTATGTATTCTGACAATCTGTTCATATTAGCATTTCAGATAAAGCAGACTTGTGCCTGGTCTGATTTTATTCACCTACTGTGAGCAGCGGCTGTATTACAGGAGCCCTACCACTGTGCTAGAGAGGCTGCAGCAGCCTGTCCACAGTGCGATTGCTTTGTTCTTTCACTGAAATCTGAATGGCACATAACATGCTTGTCGTACTTTACCTAATAGAAACAGCTGGCATTTGGTTATAGTGTCGTTTTTATCTGAAAGTGTGTGATAGAACTTTTCCTTGCATGCGGCAAAGTCTTTTTCTCTTTTCCTTCTGTGAATTCTGCCAGAGGACAGCGAAGGGAATTATGCCTTTTGGTTACAGCAAGAGTGTTAACATTATCCAGCTCCTCCTTTGTGGAAACACAGAGCTTGTTGCAAAGAACAATAGTACCTGAATGTTTGATGCACCACTGCAGCTTCAGGGCATACTGTTGCAATCCTTTCAGCTCCTTTGTACTTTGGCTTTTGTTCTTGGATTCTGTGTATATATGTGTGTGAGAGCATGTATGTGTGAGTATGAATCGGTGTGTGGTACGTATCTTTTTAAAGATCATATTACATACAATGGAATTTGTATGATAATTGTGCAGCTGGGAATATTAATTATACATTCAGCCTATTCACCGTCTCCTCCCACCACTTGCTGGGGAGTGTGTGTAAGGCTAGATGTAATGAGGCTCTGCTGTGCCTCCCTGTATTTAAGAGATCTCTATTCCCCTCAGCTCTCTCTGAGCCATCATGCATTAAAGAGCAAGAGATTTCATTATGTGTATCTGAGGTGCTTTGGAAATTTCAGTTACTGCTAACTAAGCATGACAACAGCTCAGTAGATGTCTGGTGTTGTTCAACAATGGGATGTTTCAGACTGTTAGAGCTATTTACATGGACAGTAAATTACAGACTGATAATGAGTTGAAATAATGGACTAGAAATGGTGACACTAGAGTCCTTCTCAAAATCAATTAGCACTTGAATGGAGAACATATAAGAATACAGATTGTGCTAGTCAGTATAGCACTTCTCTAAAATATTTATACTTAAGAGTTGTTTTTTTACCTTCCTTGAAGCACTGCAGGTTGTGCCGCGATGCCACGAGGATGTGTCTGATTGTAAAGAACCGAAACCCTTTTGATGCTGCCACTGTTACTCATTCTTGCTTCTGTGATGACTGCCATGAGATGACAGCTGGAGCCATTTCTGTTCTTTCTTATTGAGTCAGCACTGATCTGCTGTAACTTCCTGTTGTTTTCTGTTCTCTTATTTTCGCTCATTTCACTGTGTTTCTCTCATTCCCTGTTGGTCAATTGCCTCCCATTGTGACCCGGTGTGTGTGCGCGGGCGGAGTGAGTACTGTTCTCTGCGGGGCGGCCGTCCTGAATCACACAGGCTTCCTGTCTTGCATGAATAGGTATTTGATTTCACTTGAGCCTCATCAGTGGACCGCCATCCTCAGCTCATTTTGTTTCATATCATGCTAGTAGCTGCTGAATGCACATTTCTAAATGTGCATCGAAGTCTTATCATGTACAGGCATGACTACAGTCATCAGTGGACAATGCCAGAGCTCATAGGGGTGCCATTAGTTTTATTAATCAACTTTGCTGTGAAATTTTTGAAGAAAAAAAAGAGCATTTGCTTAACGTGTACAGCACAGTCCATCAGTATTTGGGCGGTGACACATTTGTTATTGTTTTGGCACTGTACTCCAGCAAATTGCATCTGAAATGAAACAGAATATTGCACATTCAGTGCAGGACTCATATAGTGCCCCATTTTGTGGAAAGTGTGAGAGGACAACGGTTACTCGTTTAATCAATTTAATATACGCCTATGCTCAGTGGCTCTGGTATTTGTCTTGTCAAGCCGCATATCACCTATCACATTGTCATCATCATTGGAGTGGTGGGACAACAGGGTTTTCCACACTCTTTGCTGATTTCATTGCATTTCTTTGGATGTTTGTTGCCATCAGAAATATGCCCCCTGCTGTACACACATTAATTTTATGTTGTTTTACAATAGAAATTACTATATAATCTGTTAACTTGTTTCTCTACATCTGTTTTGAAGCAGGTCCTTTGGGTTTACTTTGCAGTGTTCGTCTTCTCACATATTGCCTGAAGATTAAATACATTTTAGCAGAATGATTGCATTCAGTTAACAGTCTTCCGAACTGATAAATCGTGGTGGTGATTCGATGGTAAGACTTTTGTTAAAACTAAAAGAATGTAAGCTAGTGAAGATGTCAAAGACTGTATACAGTTTATTCACTCAGAAGTTTAAAATACACACTGGCAGTGTGCAGTTGTGATATTAATTGTGACCAGTTAATAAAAGACTAATAAAAGTATGTTTATTTAGCATGTTGTAGTATTGATTATGGAGCTATACAGTATGATTAAACATTACTAACTAATCATTTGCACTGACTGTGTATTGATAAGATCAGTACAACATATTTTGCAGATCTAAAATGAGAAGGTAATCTGTATGATTGTGAAGGAAGAGAGTAATGAAACTATGCAAAATGGTGCTGAATGCTCCTTTACTGGGGTTTAACTAGTTGTCTGCATCAGAATTAGGTTTTGAGCTATTAGGACTGATTTACACCACCACAAAGAAAAACAAAAGGTGAGCTAATGTTTATTATCTGTGGTTATGTGTATGTGTATCCTGACTAAAGGGGATGACAGATGCCCATAATTGCCTTTTTGTTGCTACTGTATGATTGTTTGCTGAAGTTGCTGTCTAATTTCTGTGTGCTGAAGAGATTGTATATGTTTTGCTGAAGCTTTTTTGAAAAGCAGTTGTAAAATAAAACTGTGTTGTGCTTTTTTGTGACCAGAAACAGCACTATGTTCACGTTGTTTCTGCTGCAGCACTTTGCTCCCACCCTGTTCTTTTTTTTTCCCAGTAAAATGTTGCTGTAAACTTTGTCCTGACTGAGTTGACGGCTGTCAGTCTCAGTAAACAAGAAAGCAAAGTTGTTCTACTTATCAGCCTCCCTGGCAGCTTTTTCCTGTCTTCAGTAAGATGTTCTCACATCCAGCCTCTCTCTCTCCCTCCTGATGTCTCTCTCTTTGATAGGCGAGCCATACAGGAATGCGCTCCTACATTTACAATAAGAACTCTGTGATTGGCTCACAGGCAGAACACTGCGGGATGCGGACATATTTCTTCAGTGCGGACACGCAGGAGGACATGAATGGCTGGATCCGGGCCATGAACCAGGCTGCGCTGATGCAGCAGAGTCACACTATAAAGAGGTTGGTCTCACTTTACAGAGTAGGATTCACTTCTCCCATTGGTTGGACTTCTACTACTAACATCTCTCCTTCCATAAAGCACAGCAGTCTCTGTGAACTGGATATTTTTTGAGATGATGTCTAAAGGGATCCTGGGTGTCACAGTATTCAACAAAATAGTACTGTTTTGGTCAATGTTTCTAGTATATTATGTGTTTTTAGGCATCAACCTCAGAGTTGAACTGTAGTGTTGAACTGGTTTAATCAGTTTCATAACTGAAATTTGCTCCTGCTCCTTTTTCTTGCCTACATGGGCTTTATTTTAACAGCATGAGCAGTGTTCCACAGCAGGTTCAACCCTGTCCTTCTGTTCTAGAGCACTGATATGTCTGCAGTTTTTGTTTTTGTGTGTGTGTGTGTGTGTGTGTGTGTAATGCATCTGGGTCTGATAGATGAGGCTTATTGCAGACCATTGCTGAGCAGAGGCCACACAAAATAGATGCTCTACAGTAGAATGTGTTTCTACAGCAGTAAATCTTTTTTTTATTCACAATCAATGGCAGAAATAGCCTACAGTCAAATCTGTGACTACTGTATCCCTGTTAAATTTATTAGAAACTGCATGTATCTGAGATTAGCTGGATGTACTGCATGGTTTGAATGGTCTGTGCAGTAATGCCACCTAGAGGCCACCTAGAGTCAGTACTCCTGATTTTTTTTATTTTGCAGCACCTTGTTTCAAGTTCCACATTTGATGCATGTAAAACAAGCAATAACGATTGCTGTAGCGTGCACACACATATTATGGCTGAATCCTTACTGTAGCAGCCTGGCTTCAAATCCAGCCCCCAGCTCTTTGCTCCATGTCATCCCCTCTCTCTCCCTGCCTTTCCTGTCACTATCCAAATAAGCAATCAATAACAGTTTGAAAATTAGGCTTTTTAAATCATGTCTTATTCCTTTAAGTGGGAAAAGAATGAATAAAATGTTAAACCTTATGAATTGAAACTGGTACCATTTGAACACATTAAGAAGAGTGGCATGCTACCCCAAGCTATTTGATGAAGACAAAGTGCGTCATTTCTGTTCCCTGGGGATTCGTTCTGCTTGCTTTCTCCAGCAAGGGCTCTACTCTCCTTTTCTCCTCTCCATATATAAACGTACAGATGGAAAGTCATTGAAAAAATTTGCTTTAGGGTCACTAAAGGTTTCCATTGTGTGGTTTTATCCAGTGTGTATTGCTGTGTAATCCCTTGTTTCAAGAATAGTGCTGCACTTCATCATAATATACGATATAAGAGGAGAAATTCGATTATGGTTAAAGTAATTATGAGTGTAGACATGTGTAATAGTTAGATAAAGTAACACTTAAGAGTCTTACTTTTGTAGTTTAAAATACGCTATACAGAGAAATTTGTATCATTTACAGGCAGGATTGACTTTTGTTGAAATATTCAATCATCCTGTCTTACTTTTTCACAGAGAGGTGGAGAAGCCAAAGAAAGCTGTGCAGCAGGCAGTTCCACAGGCCAACCATGTCCACATCAATCAGAACTCTTCTCAGACAGAGAGCCTTCGCAGGACAGACAGAGAGGAACCACAAGATAATGGTATCCAACTGGCTCATGGCGACGAGGTGAGGTATGGATTAGAAATCCAAGGGAGGCCCAGCCAGTCAGCCACAGAGGAAAGAGCAGAGAGACTGTCTCCAGAGTTTGTCGATGGTGTCGCCCAGAAGAACGGACAGCAAACTGTAATCCAAGTGGCTCTGCCACCAGAACAGAATGGAAACCTAGTCTATCAGAGGGGCTTTGTGTCGAGGGCAGACCCTGAGAAACATGTGCAGAGGAAGAATACACTGGCTCAGGTGGAGCAGTGGGTCAAAGTGCACAAAGGAGACCCACCGAAGAGGTCAGTTTGTCTTTAAACAGTCAGTCTGAATTGACCAATATTTCTTTAACAGGAACCTTGAGTAAATGCCTCCCTCTAGTGGCTAATATGAGGACTTGTTTATTTAAGTTGCTCCATGAGATAGAGGATATTGAAATAATTCTCATTGTGGACAAATAATATGAAATTCTTGTGTTTTTTTGTCTCAGTGCTCCTTCTGCTGAATATAACCTCCCTCGGCGGACTCCTCCCTTAAAGCCCAAAGCCAGCACAGCGGATGCCACCTATCAATCGTTGCCAAAGTCCCCCCGTCTCCCATCTGGCAGCAGCTCTCCTGCAGCCACATGCAACCTGCCCAGTGACTACAAGTATGCCCATGACCGGCTCAGCCACTTCCGCATGTCCACAGATGAGCGTACGGCCACCAAGGAGGGGATGGTATGGCAGCTGTACGAGTGGCAGCAGCGGCAGCAGTTCCGTCATGGCAGCCCCACCGCTCCGATATACACTGGCCCCAACTTCACTGACTCTTCATCTTTTAGAGTTACTGTGGAGATGCCACGTTCCATCTCCGTCCCTCCGTCCCCGTGTGAAGTCCCACCGTCAGTCCCCTCTTCCTTCAAACCCCTGTCCCCTCGCAGGCCTCACACTCCCTCAGACAGACGCACAGTCAGGCCCCTGGATGAAGTGACACCTGGGGACAGCACACGGTCCAGCTCCCCCGGCCATATTTGTGCCCAACTCTCTCAGGTAGGACACTTACACAGGCACCTCTGATATTTTTAGTAAGAGTTGACTGTTTAGACGGCAATTTACTTCACCATTGCAGTACAAAATAAAAAAATATTTTTTCCCAATCAAACTTTGAAATGGAGACTAGTAAATCTAGTTCTAAATAGATTCAGAGTGCTCAAATACTATGCAATATAGGGTCTTACATACACATAGAAATGGTGAATAAAAGAATAATTTGAATGAATAACTTTATATTAATCCCTTTGATATTTCATGTCAGCTTTAGATGTTAAGTTGGAATCATTATGTATTGTAGCCTAGGTTAGTAAACATATGGCCTAGTCTAGGAATAAGTTATTCATGTAGAGCAGTACTCATTATAAAACTAAAAAATGCTAATATTGTTGTACTGATTAACTTGATGTTAAGTCAGTTTGAAGAAAAAAATAAAGGATAATGCTAGTCTTATTTTATCAGTTAATAAGTAACATAAAAATACCAAAACCAACAAGGAATTTGTTCATCTAGCCTCAGACTGATAACAGTGTATAGAACATTGTCATCCAAAGATTATTAAAACACGTTAAAGACTGATAGCATTGCACTGGCTGACATATCCGTTCATTATGATGAACATGGTCAGCGTAGTTTATTCCTCTTAGAAATGCAATCATGTAACCCTGCCCGGAACATCTACCTGACACAAAACTACTCTCAAAAATACAATTGTGTTTATTGAAGCTACATGTAATGACTATTGGCCAAGTGGCCAGTAGGGGTGCAGAAGGTTTACCCTGAAAAATTGGGATTTTGGTGGGCTATCATGGTTAACCCTAGGGCTCACATTTCTTCAGTGTGTTGACCCGTGGATGCCTTCAAACTAGCAAAGCAGAGCAGTGATTAGCAAAGGGCACAAGTAGGTTTGTTCCCAATGTGTTTATCATACTGCTATCACACTCATAGTAACACTGGTTGGAGTGAATTACCCTCTCCATAGATGTGTAGATAATGGATGGAGGGATTGTCCACCCTTGATGAATTTATGTGCTTTAACACTGTATTACTGGCACAAAGTGGTGTCAGCAGCCTGTCATTGGCATGGGACTGAAGTATGTAGATGTAAGTTTGATGATTCACATGTTGTGAGCCAAATGACAAAGGTCTCATTCTCACGGTAGTTTTGGATAGTGAGGTATCTATTGACTTGAAGGATGTCGTGAGCTCACAAGGACACCATGGGAAGATTAGCAGGAGGAGCATGAGAAGGATCCGGCTTCTCAGCGCACACACTTTGATGCTCATGTGAATCATTTGCAGATTCACACAGTCCACACCCAGGCCCACTCCACAGGTGGTGTGAGCATGTGTGAGTGAAAGCTTGCTACTCCGCCGTTCCCCAAACCGTCGTAGCGCTCAGACAGCACCACCACCGCCGCAGGAGACGGAGCGAGGGGCCGTCCTGTCATCCACACCCTGTGCTGTCTGCCCACCACACCCTCCACATGTGAAAACATCTCCCTCCAAACCATCACCACATTTGCCAACACACACAGGCCTCATAACCAACCCGTTGGCCTTACACAAGTAAACAAAGTGTCGCAGATGCTCTGTTTCCTCTATCATTCAAACGAGTGTCAAGACACTAATTATAACCATAAAATAGAATGACGCACAATTATGGAAAACCCTTTAGAAGAAGATACATTTTTAACAAAGGGAGCCACAGTGACTATGCAAGACGATCCAAGGGAGCGATGTTTTATGGGAACTAAATTTAGTCTGCAATGAACTTAAGTTTTGGTGCACCCAGCATCTTTGAGGCTGATAGTGCTCTCTGGCTGGAGTGTGCTGAAGTAATAGCGATCTGTATACCTCTGTGGAATATCATTAAGGAGTATGTTTTATTAGCAGCTAATCCAATTTGCCCAGGGCTCCTCAGCACCCTATAAACATCTCTACTCTATCTCAAACATCAGCAGCGGTCTCTTTCTTCTGATCTTGCATTTAAATAAAAAACCTATTATACAGCAAAAAATAGTGGCATGGGAATCTCAAAGGGAATGGCTTACAGTGCTTCTCTTGCTGGTAGCAAACAAATGTTATTTTAAGAAAGCAGGTTTAGTATAATTTATGTGTAGTTAATTAAATCTCTTGTTGTTTGTGTCCTTTTAAGGTTCTGTAGTGGGCCTGGTTTTCGCTAATTCTGTGTGTTAAGCAAAAACGTCAGATTTTCCAAGCCCTGTAGCGTCTAAAACTCAGGGCACACCTTGTTTCAAATAAGAGTAGGAGTGATGAAAGGGAGAAAAGGATAGATGAAAAAAATAAATCTGCTGTGTAGTCAAATTTGTTTGCAGTCTTTGAGGCTATGGTTCAACTTTGATTCAGTGTGATAGAGTGGTCTATCTCTCACTTTCAACACTCTGTTGAAGATTATTTAATGAATTACACATTCTGTTTGATTTGACTCTATTAGATCTGTAATAACAAGTGTTGAACTTTGTTTCTCTGCAGACTTCCCAAATAGAGAGAAGGTCCATGCCAGCCATGGGCTATATCACACACACTGTCAGTGCACCCAGCTTGCATGGCAAAACGGTATGATCCTCTTTATTGCATTCACTACATTACTTGGTTTCATTGTTAACGATATCTGTCATAGTGTATAACATAGTTCTCCAGTAGTCTAGGACACCCAAGCCAGGAATAGGAATCACTAATCTCTGTGACAATATCAAGATGTAGAATCTAATCTGAGCGAGCTGATCCCTATAATGCTGGTTTATTTTTTTATGCTGTATGATTCGCTGTAGTGGTATTAGTTCTGCTGACCCTTAACCTTTAGACAATCCATGATAGCCAATAAGTCAACACAATGAGTCATCCTCCCAGTCTCATAGTGCAGCTCAAGCTTGTACATTTTAAGTTATTATTAGGACATTGATTAAGCAAAAGTATACTGGCCTCTCAACCACTTGGCTCTCTCTCAGCCACTGTACTGCCCAGATGGTTCTCAAGTATTTTCTCTCATCCCTCTGCACTTTCACTGGCCTCCGGCCTCTAAACCCGGGCTTGGCTGCAGCCAGAGGAGCTGACTCTGCTCCTCATTCAGCTTCGGAGGCACCAGGCCAAGATGGCTGGTGTGCATAGCCCCGGCGATGCATTCGCTCACCTGCAGCACCACCAGCACAACGGTCTTCTAGGCCCCAGCATGCAGGTCAGGGGCCGCTGTATTTCCCTAACCCGCTCTACAGCACACTGCAACCCCTGCCAGTGCATTGTGGTTCCCCTCTCCCCAGCCAATCCCATACATTACTTCTCTGTCATTCATAAGACTGTGCGGTCTGTTGGCATTGCTTGGTTGTCTTGTTTATTCAACCATTTTGGCATGGGCTGTGTTGCACTCCAGACTGTCTAGATTGCCTTTAAGATATACATTAGTCTCTTTATAGTTAGTGTCACTCATCTACCTTTTTCAAAACATGAAAAAGCATTCAGAGGCTAGTGTTTTTCTATTTCTAATAAGTAATATGTCATATTTGAAGCATGTTGCTTGTTGACTGTGTCTGAATTGTATACTTGTTTTATAGATGTATAACCTTGCACAAACACAAAAAGAATATGTGATGAATACAAAACATTTGTATCTAAATGTCTGTGTGCTCTGATAAATTTTTTGCTCTTGGTGTTTTCATTTTGAAGCAGCCATCAGGCCACAGTCCCCCTTGTGAGCCTGTTCACAAACACTGCATTGCTGTAAGACTATCAGACCACAGTGAAGCTGCAACGGTGCTCAGTAATGACAACCCCACCCAGTTTCCAACATCAAACCATTCTCTGGCCATCCTCCATGTTTGCACTCAGTTTGACCACATGTCATGCACAAGACCTGTGTTGTTCAGTTGTGTATGAGGTCAAACATGAGACATTAAACCAGTTCAAAAATTACACGATTACTTAATTACAGTTTGGCTTTACTTACTGTGGATAAAAATACAGAGGTAGAAGTAAACTGTAATTGAGACCAAGTTAATTAAAGTTCTGTTAGCAGAGCCTGAACAGCAAATAAAGGCCTTAAGAGTCATCTGGTCACCCATTATCCTTTGCAGCTCCATTTCAAATGATTTATCTCTCCACTGCTCATTTAAAGGCTGATGATACTTACATACAACTGAAGAAGGACCTGGAGTATCTAGATCTGAAGGTGGGCCCCAACAAAGTAAATGCCACTTTATCCTTTTCATCCTCTTCTCCATCTCCCCTCTGTAGACTGCAATCTTGTTCTCCTGCTGCTGCCTCCAACATCTGCCTCCCTGTTTCCCCTTTTCCTGTCTTTCCTCTGTTCCTCTGCACTGAGCTTTGTCTACTGTTTCCTTATGATGGAATTAACATGTCTCTTAACTGTCTTCCTATTATGTAAATTATCCATTTTAGGATAAGAAGTAATTTTTGCATTAATAGTCTGCTGAATCCAACAAATAGTCCAATGTGACTGACATAAAGTGCAAGAGCAATGTTTGGCTTCTTCCTAAAGTAGAGGTCATGATGTTTAGTTTGTCACAGAGTTTTCTATTGGATGATATTACTGTACTTTCAGATGTAGGTATGTCACCCCAACACATGTTGATCCTCCTGATGGGAATTGAAGTTTCAGCACATGGTTGAATTTCTAAAATGTCTGAGTCAAGTTAACTCCAATTCCCATGTTACAAATAGTATAATTGCAAAGGCCTTTTACTGCAGTATTTAATCAGTCTGTTTCATTTAGCTAGCTACTGGCATAAATTCCATTTACACCTGTGCAAAGCATTTGACCTTAATTAATTTGTATGTTTAACACCACAATGCATTGATTAGAAATCTGGGTTGTGTTTTGGAAAGGAGGGAGGTCATCTAATGATACAGTACAGTACGTCCTGTAACTCCTCTCCATTTCCTGTTTCAAAACAGATCCAAAGTATTGACCCGATGATCGTTTCAGTACACAATGTGTTTGAAAACTCCACTCCGAGTTTTGGGTACTGTTGGAATGTAAGGATGGTGTGCATACAAAGTGAAACAGACCATTCCATTGCTTTTCAAAAGGAATGTGATGCATCCCTGGAAAATATGCAGGATTTTGCACATGGATACCTGGTCCGATCATTCACTGTGTGACGCTCGCAACACTGCTATGAGATTTGAGATGATAGAAAGGAAGTTGTTATGCGAGAGGGCTTCCTTGCATGCTGTTAAGCATTTCTGAATGTGTTTCATGTATGTTACATCTTGTCTTTGCTTTTGTTTTGCTTGTTAGAGCATAAGAGATGACCCAATGGTGCTCTTTAAAGAAATATAATAGCAACGTGATATGGCATTGACAACCTTAGGGCCTCTAGTTTCATTGTGGTCACTGGTGGAAACGGACGATAATGTGCGGTGGTGTGTATTCACCACGGTCTTGAAAGAGTACTACAGAAACTTATATAAAGAAATTAACTTACGTAAAGTTGGCCAACTTGTGAAGGACAGATTACAGAAAAAGTGGTCAAAACTTGTTTATTTTGACTTGATAGACAGAGATTTAGCTTGATATTGTCTTTAGTTTTCTGACTTCCATGTCTTTCAAACTCAGTGCCCCAAGTATGTAACATAGACGATCTTTTAAAAAAATTGTAGTTTCCAAGCCCAACCTAAAGATCCTGGTGATTACTTGAGTAATTTTCCCAGACTTGACAAAGCTCCCTCCAGCACCACAGAATACATTATAAAACTGTTCTCACAGGCTGCGTAGTGCCCCACATGACTAGTAATTGACTTTGACATTTAAATTAGGTGGAATGCCCCTTTAACTGAGTTTCCCATTTGCTGTAGTCCATACCGCCGTGTTGGGTGTGGTGATCCTGATGTGGGTGTGTTATGAATATTCCCGCAAAATTTTTACAGCTTCATGCATTAGTAACTGTGACAGTTGACTGGCAGACTCTGCCCCATTATCTGGACAACGTCTGAACAGGACAGACTGACAGTCCCTCTGTTATTATACTGATAGCAAAAGAAAACAATGTCATTAAGTCACTTCTAACTACCACAAAACTGATTACAGAAATATATAAGTTCCCATAATAGTATTTTCTGATATTAATGTTATAAATGACCTAAAATAGGTAGAAAAATAAAATAGGCCCATACAATGGTAATGTACAGACCCCAAAATAATGGGGATTATGATTCACTTGTTGTACTATGTTTACCACCTGAAAATTGCTGACATCTTCAATGCAATCCTGCTGAATAATTAAATGCATCTTCTGCCACTTCCATGACACAGAAATGCAATAGGCCTAATCAATAACACATTTCAAGAATAGGCCAGTTGTTACTTTTTATGCAGATGGAATTGGTTAACTGAGAAGAAACTAAGTACTAATTTAAGTAATTTAGCAGCATAGCAGACACATGTCCTTATTTTTAGCCATTCTTGTGGCATCGCTCTAGGGATGGCAGATCTCTTTCAAAGCTGTTGTGATTTGTTTGTCTGGAGACAGATTAATCTCGTTGGTGAACTGAACTTTTATATATCTTAAACAAAGTTTTGTTAAACTGTGCTGTGGTATCAACAATGCCATGGCTGTTGCAGCTACACACAGCTCATTATTTTTAATAATTCACACCTTTTCAGTCTCTTACCGCTGGCTTTGCCCACACTCACTGCTCTCTCCGCCAGCATATGCATACTGCCATAGCACACCGTCATGAAACTAGAGGCCTTGATAACTTAGAGTTTCACATTTAGCTTTTTGAAGTAGAAATAATGAAATGGTTCATGTGAATGACCCAGTTGTTTAACTTGCAGTAATAAGCAGTGAGGAAAGAGCAGCTTTGGGGTTTTTAGGGTTTCCCCGAATGCAAAGATGCAGAAGCTCTCTCTGCATAAATGTTTTTGCTCAGCTTCTGCACAAAGTTTTGTTATACCAGCTCATGCTTTTTTCTTATTTTGGTTGTGTGAACTTTTCTGTTTTTATTATTTTATTACGATCCATCCAGCTTGTCCCAGTCTCACTGTATGTTGGAAATCCATGCAGTTGTTGTTATCTCTTTACTGGAAGCATTAAAGTAAGGGTGTACAAAATATTCCATCCGATTACTGATATTAAACATTTTATTTTATTTGTGGCTATTGGGAATTTCAGGTTACTGGACGTGAGAGTTTAAAAACAGAAAGACCATCAAGGCCTGTGAAAATAGCAGAAAGTGATGCTGATGTAAGTGAATTATTATGTTCTCAGGACTGAAAAGATAAGCACCATGTTTATCCGTCTCTTCCTTTTCTTTAAGATCTCCATTTCCTACTTCTTACAATCCACTACAGAGAGGCAGCTGACTTTAGTCTGACTTTACTGTGTGTTTTAGTGTGGTTTGTGTGTGTGTGTGTTCTTAAGTTGTGGTAAACAGAGGCTGTGGAGGGAAGGGAACGTATGTACGTTGCAACACTGTGGGGACACCCATCCACACTGCACAGTGAGGGCCTGAGAGTATCGACCACAGCTTTTATTTTCCTCCCTGCAATTTAAAGGGAAAAATACATGTAATGGGAGTTTTAGATGTTGAGCTGTTAAATTTTTCAGTTTGATTTGCCTGATCCTGCTTTTCTCATTCTTTGTTTTCTGCTGAATGGAGGTAAATAAGATGGATGTCCTGGCTTTTCATCATTAGCATTGTTCCACTTTAACAATTTATAAGAAATTGCCAGTAAATTTGTCTGAACAATGAATATTTCATGCAATTAAAAACAACAATATACGGCAGCAAAATAAAAACAGCTTAATTATTAATTGAACAGAATGATAAATAGATCTGAGAAAAAAATACACTGTGTGAGAAAGACTGTGAACTAGGCAGTCTTATGTTGTTTTCATAAACACATAACCCATTTCTGGGAAAACAAATCTGTCACTCTCAATAAACACGGTTTTCTCCAAAAGTGAATTTGAAAATATGGATTTTTGATTATGATTACTCATAATGGGTATTACCAGATCTCGCCCCCAAACCAGACAGTATAGAGCCTTTTGATATTTCTCACTGCGCTTTTGAAAGGAATTCCTCAGGGCTTTTCACATAGATGAGCCTTATTGACATATTTACAGACAGCGAAGACTACAGTAGACGATCAATTCGTCTTATCTGGCTGCGTTGTTAGAATAAAGTTGAACGAAAACAAGAACGGAACAGTCAACCTCTGTTGTAAACAGATACTGTATCTCATTGGCCCAGTCACCGTTTTATCTCTTTCCTGTTTTTTCTGTTGCATTATGTCTACACTCTGTGGACTGTTTAGAGGTAAACAGAGATTAGATTTTATCATTTGTTTTCCTGCATTTTATTATTCCAATATGTTCTCCCTTCAGGTGAAATTAAGTCGGCTGTGTGAACAAGACAAGATACTACAGGAGCTAGAGGCCACGATACGCACTTTGAAGGAGGACAAGGTTTTTGGCTTATACATACACAAAATTTGTGTGAGTCAGCCTGTATTGGTGTGGTCCATAAATGCTTCTTGTTTTCCGACTGTGTCTTTCATGTCTCTATCTAGGACAAGCTGGAGTCTGTGCTGGATGTTTCCCACCAGCAGATGGAGCAGTACAGAGATCAGCCGGCCCATGCTGAGAAGATTGCTTATCAGCAGAAATTACTACAAGAGGATGTGGTGCACATCAGGGCTGAAATATCCCAAGTCTCCACAGTAAGACACAAACTCCATTCAAGTCCATTAAGCTTATAATGACAAATACAGCTTCTTTGACTTCTATGTTAAAGTTAAAATATGCAACTTGCCCCCCCTCCCAATGTTGTTTAATTGAGTTTTGGCTGGTAAGCTACTCTGAATCACACTACTCACTGTCTCCTATATTACTAAGTGCATGCTACCACAGCATTATGTTTTTATTGCTTGGAAACAAGATGTTCACTTCTATTTTTAGTTGTTCCTTTTTGATGGTTTCTGCAACTGGCACAATGTTTCAAGTTGACTGTGACTATCAAAATGAGTGCTCGGGGACAAACCTGAGGCTACAAAAAAACTCATGAGTTAATTTCTACACCACTCAGAAAAATGCTTTAGTCAAAATGTCCACTGATATTCAAAATATTCAGTGTTAAAATGATAAAACATTTACAAATAAACCACCAGATTACGCAAGAGTACACCAGAGTATCTTTAGCTCTCAGTGTCAAAGACAACCACATTGGTTGTGCTCTCAGTGGTCGCAGGAAATATCGGTCTTATACGTGACTGACTGAACAATGGAAATAACAGATCAAATCCAAGTGAATCATATTAAAAACTTGATTTCAAGTGAGAAAGCATAATAAGACCCAAGCAACTCAAAACACTTGCTCTCCACTACTACTATAATTATAAAGTGTAACCACAGATAGGCTTTACTGTACGTGTTACCTCCTAAGATGAGGCTGTTTCTTGTCTTATTATAACATGGAGATGGTTCTGTTTGGTTTTTCAGGAGATGGAGAACGCGTGGAATGAGTACAGCCGGCTGGAGAGAGATGTGGAGTGGCTGAAGTCAGCCCTGCAGGGACAGATGAACCGCAGCGATCTCTCTCAGGTCTGTGGCTCGTGTTAACTCACACAAACAAGTAATTCACTCTCATGCATGGATGTGCTTGGGAATTAGTTACAGACTTCTCATTTCATAAGCACAGACAAAGCAAGGAGTTGTGGTTGATATGTATTAGCCTCAAATTAAAAATCATATTGTGGTAAAAATAGATGACTTTTAAACAGTGATATGTAAGTAATTTTACGGTGCATGTTTCTGTGTTCGTCTGTGAGCAGCAAGAGAAAGTCCAGATCAGAAAAGAGCTGTGGAGGATTGAGGATGTTATTGCAGGCCTCAGCTCCAGTAAAGCCAACTACAAAGTCACTATCTCCTCTGTCACCAACCCAGGTGAGACAGGTGCTACCTGGAGGTTTCATGTGTACAAAGCAAATGATGTTCGCTGTATGTGCAGTGCAGTAGAAGCCATGTGTGGTCACGCTACAGTATGTTACCATTAAAGATCTTAATCATATACTCAATACTAATGCCTTGAACATTTCCCATGGGAAAAGAAAGCACTGTCTTTACAGCGTGTGTGTATTCATGTTACATGTTCATATACATTGAATTCCCCAGAGAGGAAATTTGTGCCTTCAGTGTCGGCATCATCAGTGCCTTCTGTGTCTGGGAGCCCGTCTGCTATGGAGATGAGATTGTCCCAGCAGCAGCAGCAGCAGCACAGCCCCCACCTCAGCCCAAGTAGCCACACCCCCACCCTTTCCTCCAGCCCCAGCCAGCAGCCTTTACGCCACTCTGCAACCATCACCAGTGGGCTGAAATGGGTGAGTGACCCCTGGCACAGGAGTAAACCTAAGGACATCTTTGTATGAAAAGCTGCATGAAGTCTTTGTACGATGCAGTTTGTGTAGCTTTGCACATTTTTCATACGCCTTTTCTAATTGCCAAAAATATCACATGATGCCTTAAACAGAGGCCTTACCTTTTCTCATTTGGGTCAATGTTTCCATTTACACTTTTTTCAGCACTAGATAAAGTGTTGCAACCATTGATTAGTTTCATTATATTAGTCTATATATAAGTCTGTCAATTATTTTTGACACTTAATAAATTATTTGTTTGGTTAATAAAATGTCACAAAATGCCCATCACACATTTTCAGGGCAACGTCTTTATATTTTACAATGATATGAAACAGATAAAAAGATACTCAACATTAAAACTGTCCGCTTTTGGTTGATCGACTAATCATTTCATCATTATTAGAAAACCATTTATAGCTTTATTATTTTAAGATTACTTCTGTTAGCATGTTTGCCTTCATTGGATAAACACCATTCAGCTCTTAGGACCTCCATAGTTTTCTGGTATTTATTAGTTTCCATAGCTTAAAGGTGTCCTTTGGAGGTTTCTTGTAAACAAACAAAAGCTTACATTCAGTGTTACTCACTAAAACTTACTGAGTGAATCCTTGAGGCAAACGTGACAAAACGTTCCTTCCTCATCAAACCTTTTTTTAGTATTTTGAATCCAGCATTGTTAACATCTATGTTTACTAGCTAGCAGTCTTCCTTTTCTTTGCCACCTGTTGATCAGTGTTATAGTATATCACTTCATGCACATGACAAGGAACAAGGACCCAAACAACTCCATAGCACTACTAGAGGTCAAAGACTCCACAAGGAACCTTTAATGTGAATATGTAGCGTCATGTATTTATTAGTGGTCTTTCAGAAAGGACTGATGTCACAGTCAGGGCAATGTGAGGTTGTTGCTTGTTTGTCATTTTAAGTATGTATCAGTAATTCACAGTTGTTCTGTGTGCAGGGTGAGGATGATGTGCCTCCCAGACCTCCTCTACCTCAGCTCTACAGTCCTGACGAGCATCCCCCTGCTGTGCCCCCGTTGCCCCGGGAGACAACGGTCATCAGACACACTTCTGTACGCGGCCTCAAACGACAGTCAGATGAGCGTAAAAGGGACAGAGAGATTGGCCAGTACACTAATGGAGACAGTAAGGTAAAGGCAGTGTGTGAAATTTAGACATCTAAGCAGCACAAACAGAAAACTCCACAGTTTCTAATCTATGTCTGTGTCTGTGTATCTCAGGTGGAACTTAGGCCTTTCCTGAGCGATCCAGAGCTTATGGGAGCTGGAGACGGCTCCAGTCACATCAGCATAGTTGCATCTGGACATGATGGGTACCAGACGTTACCTAGCAGAGGTACGGGGATGATCGAGCCAGTAGAAAGAGATTTATTTAGCTATAGAATATTTATTATGTTAAAGATTTTACAAAAGTGTTGAGCTGTATTGCCAAATTGAGTACAGCATTTTAATGTTGTTGGCTTTTCCTCAGGAGTGGCTGGCTCATCGCTTAGGCTAAATCAGTCTTCAAGCATCTCCTCATATGTGACCCTCCGAAGAGCAACCTCAGCTGTCGGCATGAAGGTGAGGATCGGAATTAACTAAGATCAAATAGTAAAGAGTGAGTCAACACTGAGTACCCATCAGCACATCAGAGGAGAGACACAGATACATGATATCAATGCAATTCACAAATAAATGAAAGCACAGCTAAATTATTTGATATTTCATGCTCATATTTGTACTTCTGGCTCTCCCAAGACCTCCATCAAACCCATCTGGAAGTGTTTACAGGTGGGAAGACAGTTAGACCATCCTGTTTGGTTTTTTTTGCACTATAACAAGATCATTAGATTTTTAGCAATGAAAAAAATGATGAAATGTACAAAATGTATAATTTAAAAAAATATTTACAGAATTAGAAAAACTCAAATGGTAAAAACCCACATTCAGTAAGTAAAAATGTTTGTGTCAGTCAATTTATTTTTTTGGCATTTTACAAAAAAATGTTTTAAGTTTGACAGATTTTGGTAAAATGTATCTGAACTTTGTCAAGCTCCAATTTTATAGGTAGACGACATACAATAATATAAACTCTTTGTGTAAACTTAAAATAACAGCTATGCTTCAATGCATTCAAATTCCTCATCAATAAACATACACAACAAAACTAAGGATTTGTGGTATAATTTACACTATACACCTGATTCTCTATATGCTCCAAATAAAACCTCATAAATGTCTCAGTTGTGAAAACTAAATTGTGTATTGTGTTCCTTTTTCGCTCCTTGTTAACATTAGCTATGCTTTTACTCTCTCGCTAGGTTTGTTTTTATTTCCCCTCCTCTTCTTTGCCTTCTGCTGCACCTTTTTGCTCATGTTATCAACTCTCTTTCCTCCCACTTCTCTCAGGAGAGACCAAAAAGTGCCTTGGAGCGTCTGTACTCTGGGGACCCGGCGCAGCAGCAGCAGAGGGGGAAGATGAGTGCCGATGAGCAGCTGGAGAGGATGAAGAGGCACCAGAAGGCTCTCGTCCGCCAGCGCAAACGCACCCTGAGTCACGGTGACCGCCATGCCTCGCCATCGCCGCGCACCGCGTCCTCCTCCTCGCGCCCGCTTTCAGCAGACTTGGGATCAGTATGTTACTAGAACAGTATCACACGTCACACTCTCATGCATGACGACAGCCAAATCGAGAGTGGCAATCTACGGTAGTCATGCATGCCTTTACTCAGTAGTCTGTCTTTTCTCTGTCCCTGACATTACAGAGTTGATAGTAATACATTAAATTAGTGCAGTATGGTAATTCACTGTGTGGCTCTAACTGTGCTTATATCATGCATGTTGTTTTAAGACTTAAACCAGCCTTTTTCACAGCAGGTGTTTTGACTTGTCATAGTAGGAAAATCACAGGTGTTACTAATAACATTAATGATGGCTCTGTTTCATTCAGCTGCCCCATTAAGTCATGACAATGTAACACTGAGTGAGCCCACATGCAGAATACCAGAACCCTGAAACTGAAGTAACTAAATGGAATTCAGCCATCATTCATTTTATTGTGCTTTTCCTACTGTGACATGTCAAAACTTCTTCTGTGAAAAAGGCCTACACAGATAAGTGGATAACAGTTTCTGCATTACACTTAACACAATAAAGTGTGTACAATACTTATATAATTGACAAAAAAAGTGTTTGTTATGCAGTGGAAATAATTACATTTATATTGAATAGGGATGTATTCTTGTTTAAAATCTTTACAGTATATCTTGCCTCTCAAACATATAACACACTAATTACCTCAGACAGATCTTTAATGCCATCTACACCTCATTTTCATCCATTTCTCTGGGTATTTTTCCTCATCATTCTCTGTTATAGACCCTAACATTGCTTTATCCATCCATCCTCACTTCTCCTCAATGTTCTTTGCATTTCTTGGCTTTCACAGTATATATATATATTTTTTTTACCATACTACCATGCTTTCAGAATAGCACCCAGATATCTGTTTACCAGTTTCCCCTCATTTAGATGTTCATGCTCGCTGTTCTTTAATGATGTGCTGTTGCTGTCTGTAAGCAGTCCGTGTGTGTGTTTGTGTGTGTGAGAGAGAAAGAAAAAGAAAGTGCCTTCTTATTTTCTACTGACAAATACATTGACATATACTCAGCAGTGCCTATTCAGCCTACTCACCGTAACCTAATCATGGCATTTTTCTTGCGATATTATTTTTTTTACTTAAATGAAAATAAAGATGGTTGTGTTAACGGACTGGGGCCTACTTTTGTCCCATTTACTAATTTGAAGTCTTTGTGAGAGAAAGCTTTTTATTTAGACAATACTAATGTGTATGATAGCCATTTCATATAGGTTAAGTGATTTCAGTGTTTGCTCAGCGTTTTTATCTGCTAATTAATTGTTAGTTATAAGAACCCTTCCTTTTTCAAATGTGAATGTTTGCAAATAAATAAAAATTATTTTCTAATGAACGTATATCGCCATGTTTTTTTTGTTATATATTTTTTATCTGAATACATAAAATATGGTTGTGTCATCAGAATGAATGAAGAGCTGTTTCCTCTTTGTTTGAGTGTCATTGTGCTGTCTTTATTACTGTTGTACTGTGATTTGAGGGTTTCCAATTTCATATAAGCATGCATTTATGTCTCATACATATCAATGCATGCTCCCTCTTTTTTTTTCTTTTTCACACCTGTACACATACTCTCTCTCTCACTCTCTCTCTCTCTGTAGCCAGTAAGCAGTAATAACTAGTGTTGTGCAGTACTTGTTACATTAAATTACTTGTAAAGGCAAGTGAAACTTTCACATTGACCTGATGAACAAGACAACTTGATGGCAGCAACCTGTAATTTGTTTCACAGTCTATTTTGTTTCCTTTGTGCGTTGTCCAGTGGAAGAGAGAGCAGGACTTTGACCTGCAGTTGCTCGAGAGGGCTGTTCAGGGGGAGGAGGCACAGGGAGTTAGGAGCGTTCAGGGGGAGGAAAGACCTCCCGAGCACAAAGAGAGACCCCGCTCACACTCTGACGAATGGCTGACCTTCCGCTCAGTGGCCACAACCCCTCCCACCCATGAGGTTGACCTGGAGCCACTAGACTATGACCTGGACCTTAACAAAGAGGTAAGTTATCTTTGTCTCAGTGAAGATACAGCTGATGATTTTTTTTTAGTTTTAAAGATGCCTTGTTGCACTGGTTGCAGTGACTATACGTCCCAATGAGTAGTTGTGTGAGTGCTGCTATACTGTGCCTGAACTAAACCAGCAGCCTGAACTTGATTGGGGGTTTTATTCCAAGGCATGTAGTGGAGGCTAAAAGATGTTTGCTGACTACGTAGTGGACATATTTCCTGTTGGAACTTATGCTTGTTTTTTTTTTTTTTGCGTGATATCACCCCCTTTTGGTAGGGGGTGTAAAAAATAAACTCTCGCACAGCAAAAGCATTGACTGATGCTTATTCGGAGAGGCATACAAATGATGTTGAAGAACACTAACAGACATCTATTGTAACTTACTTATCACTTAAATCTAACTACAAATATTATTTTCAGTTTTAAGCAGGTAGCTAAATTGTAGGCTTAGCTTATTTAAAATATCCTCTAATGTCCGTCTGCATATCCTTCAGCTGTGCAACTGGATAGATCATTTTTTGGGTGATCTGATAACAAGGATGATGATAAAGACAACTAAGATTTTAACACAGATCATGTCTATTTTGTGTAGCTTTCCAAGCCTCAGAAAGTCCTGATTCCGGAGCGCTATGTAGATTCAGAGCCTGAGGAGCCTCTCAGCCCACAAGAGGTAGAGGACCGCCATCGGAAGGTGGAGCGCATCAAGAGCATCTTGGCAAAGTCCAGGTAAATAAAATAAAATGAAACAGATTTTGCATTTAAGTGTTGCACATACATGGCTGATTCTGGGGTTTCAAGAAGGCATTGTAGTCATCCCAACAACCACTGAAAAATACTCACATTCAAGCCCATTGTTGGCAGGCATTCACCATACAGACAATGCAATCAGTGCATTTCCACATCACTACCAATGCATCGTGGTTTGTCAATTTGGTGTTTTATTTCTTTGTGCGTGGGATAGTGTGCAAAACCTAGCACCGACAGTGACTGTGGACAAGCCGGAGGTGGGGCTGGTGGCACTTGACTCGGCTCTGCAGGAGCAGGAGAGGATCATCACCATGTCGTACGCTCTCGCCTCAGAGGCTTCACTCAAGAGCAAAATAGTCGCAGGTTGGTAATTTCTCTCATTTGAAATGATTTTCTCTTCATTTCAACCTGTAGGTTATCGGTTTGCTTTATAAAGGAGTGTAAAAATCATTATTCCACAGAAACACTTAAAGGAATAATTACTGCCAAATCTAATCTGCCAGGAAAGAAAAAAACATACCAGTGCTAACAGTTTCAGTAAATTTTCCCGGCATCAAATTGACATCTTTTGGTTGAAGAAGGGATAATAGGGAGAATTCTGGATTGATGTAGAGGAGATAAGAAGGGCATAAGGTGCAGAGTCGAGCAATAAGGCTGTTCATTTCCTAATAACTGAACATTATTCCTTCTTAGGAGTGCAGATAGCCTCTAATTGCAATCCGTGTAGAATCTTTCAGACGGGGGAGGAATTGCTTGATGAGGCCATTTTGTGTGCTGATCAATGACCCTCTCAAACTCTACTCTCCTTCTGCATACCATTGCTGCTGCTTTGAACGTAGCTCTGAACCTGCATAAAAGACACTGCGCTCACTTTTCATCTCTTTCATACTCTACAGCAGACAAGCAAGTTCATTTTCACTGTAGCTGCAGCAGGTTGTCAGTCTGTCGGCCTCACACACACACGCGCACACGCACATGCACACGCACGCACACGTATATGTCACACACAGTAACACTCAAGCTGTCAGCGTGTGTGGAAGCTTAATATGCACAGTGAGGCAAAGTCAACAATTATAACATTATTTCCAGCATAGAGAAATGTCAGAGAATATAACTGGTGGCATCTTGTCAGTAGAGACTGAATCAATGACTTTCTCTCCCTTTGGTGTTAAAGTAAGGTATGCTGGTGCACTTCCAAATCCCTGAATTCAAAGAAGAGTTTTTTTCACAGTATTATGCATAAGAGACTTCAATAATGCTGGCATAAAAGCAGGAATATTCAGCTCTGAAATTACATACAGTATATATTAAAAAAGGTGTTTTTGATTGTTGAATTTGTTATTCTAAATTTAGTATTTTGTAATTACTTGTACTTGTGTTTGGTAAGAACCTCTAATTTATCTACAAAACATGAATGAACTTCCTCCTTGTCGTGCCTCTTCAGCTATTCATTGCTTTGTTTTCTTTTAAGCTGACGAAATGTTCAAATGATGAGGAAATAAAGCACACACCACACCACAGCATAGAGATCACAATGCGCCTCAAACGACTGATGTTGCAGCTGATGTTAACTAAAAACATTTACCATCCTAATGACCTTCGTCTTATCGAATACCTTCAAATCCTTTACTCTTTGGAATTTTCAAGCAAAAACACACTAGAAATTGCGTTGATGAAAATCGACATAGAATTTTTTTTATTAGCAAACACATTTAAAGATGCTTTTGATGAGGCCATCTGAGATGTTCTTGTATGTGCACTGTATCTACACTCATGGAAGTTTTTACACTCCTGAATAAGGGAGGGGCAGCTTCACTGACGGAAAATGAATAGAAGCAGAAAGACCAAACTTTCACTGGTTTAAGATTTGCAAACAAAAAGATTTCACGCTTTTCTTTGTCATATA